AATTAAATTATTATTTGTTCAATTAATTATTCTCACACATTTGTCTCAAAAAAAAGCCATTTTTTCTTTCTTTACATATTATATATAAATAAACAAACACCTTCTATTTGCTAATTGTTAAACTTAATCACAAACAGTTTATTCTGTAGTCAATTATTCAACTATCAACAATTGTACAATTGTATTTATAGTATCCAAATCAGTTACAATTTTATCCAGAAAAAAAAAGAATTGAAAAACTTTCATAATACATACATTAAGTTTATCCAAAAAGAAAAATTTAATTTGTCTAGTTTCAATTTGCTCTTTTTATATAATCTTATATTTATGCATGTCTTCTTTTGTTGTTGCTATATTTGTATTCTACAAAATTTGAATTCTATTATACAATAAAAGAATTTTATAGTATTATAAACTGTTAAACAAATAATGCTTATCAAAAAAGAAAAAAAAACACAAAAAATTGTACAATTGTATTTATAATATTCAAATCAGTTACAATTTTATCCAAAAAAACAGATCAAAATACTTTTATAATACATACATTAAATTTAACAAATTAATTGTTCAGTTTCAATTTGCTCTTTTTTATATAATCTTATATTTATGCAATATTTCTTTTGTTGCTGTTATATTTGTCATTTCTATAAATTTGAATTCTATAATACAATCAAAAAAATTTTATATTAATATAAACTGTTAAGCAAATAATGCTAATCAAAAAAAAAAGAGAAAACACAAAATGATAGTTGAGAAAAGAAAAAGTTGATATAATTTTAAGGTTAATCAAAATTACTAGAAATATGAAAATTTTGTGTATATATAATACAACCTTTATAGATATCTGTTGGTGAACAAAAATTTTCTGTTGATCGTTGTACCGTTGTTCGATAGGATTCAGATGTAAAACGATGTATGGTTGTTGTTTCTGCACATAATTTTTTACACATATCCAACTTCTCATCAGCAACTATCATTCGATCTAAGACATGAATTTGTGCCATAAATTTACCCTTAAAAACAAAAGTATATCCACATGCATAAATAGCGATTAAAATAAATTATAAAATTAAATTTCTTTTTTTTTTTTTTTTTTTTTTTTTTTTTTT